ATAACCCACCTTTCTCGCGTCGTGACCACGCAAAAATCGGATGATCGTATGAATGTACACAGTTTGGAGAGCGGCTTCTTTGCGTTCGAATAGCGCGCGTTAGGTCAGTCGCGATCGTCAGACGTTTCGCGGCTCGACTTCGTACGGACTTCCTTTCCCGATGAATTTCATCAAACGTAATTGTAAAAGAAATACGGCTTTTCGTTTAAATCATTGCACAGATCAAGTATAAGGTACGTTTGCTGCTTACCGTTTCTAGACGTCATCGACACGAACAAGAACGTACTGCGCGTGACCGATCAATCGTAATTTTTTCACTGCTTGACGTTGAACATTTTCTTCCTTTATGTGGCATATATATGTGTATATGCAGACAGTATATCTATATCGTTAGCGCCACCAAACTCGTATTATTAAACTAATACGAAAAAATGAAAACGTAGCACGCGAATAAAGAAACGGAGAGAACGTGAAATACGTATATCGTGTTCAGCTTCCACTAAGATTTCTAATGATTATCCCTCCGTTGAAAACGAAAGGAGGAAAAAGCGTGCGGGTTTTATCGTTTGAACTGCTGATTATCGATTAGGATGAGCGTACTTGAAAAATTCCGATTCCAGATACGAAAATACACGGTAGATTGGTAGGATGCGTCGATTCTGTATGGGAAGTCAACTGGGTCGTGCGAACATTATATCGTTAGCCTGTAGTCACGTAATATCGTTTTATTAACATATTAGAATTAATTAAAATAAAAAGTTAACTGAATATTAATATACGGTAATCGCAACTGCGCTCCGTTTAGCTTACGCATACGTACGTGTATATCGACGATCACCGTTTCTAGTTTCAACCAACGTGTATAGATACACGTTTACCGTCTAATAACTTTTATTCTCCTTTTCTGTTTAGCCTTTTTTCTCTCTCGTTTCTTTCATAATACGACCTGTTTTTTCATGATAATTACATTAATAATAATCATACTGATAATGGATAAAGAAACCAATGTAATAAGAACAATGTACTTGTGGAATTCACAAAAAAAACGGCGTTTCGTGTTCTTTAATCATGAATTGAACTGTTCTGCGTTACTCAAGCCCACCCTTGGCCAAAATATGATCCCGTCCGTTAGTCCGTTATACCGTATTCAATTCCCTCGCGAGATAGAATCGTCTGGTGCGACGATATAGAAGGAATCGACGTCGACGGAAAGGGACGAACGCGCTTACTTGGCTTCCTGCGCGTCGCGACGTCGCGTCGTCGGGCGCGTGTTACAGTCGACCGCGATTCGCCGCGATTTTCAATCTCGCTTTCAGTTTCCTAAATCATTTATCTTCTATTCCTATCCTGTGTATTGTATACTTTCGAATGGACGAACATTATAGTTTCCTAAAATCAATTCGTCTCTATTCGAATTTTCTCGTTTAACCGCGACTGATGCGTCGCGTACTAGAAATCCGTAAGAATTCCCTCGTGTACGGATAGCGTTTTACGGCGATTTCTATACCGCGATAAGACGAGCTCAGTTTAAAACAAAGGAGCGGGCAAACGAGTAAATGTCCACAAAAGTACAGACTTTTTACGCGAAAAGAAACAATGCAAGCATGCCAGTTGTTAATATATTGTAGTTTGGAAACATGCGTGTAGTTTTCCAGACGAATGTTCCCTTGCGAATCTCCAATTTTCGGGTAAAAATCGAAATCGTGTTCCATCTCGGTTCCTTCTCGGTTCCTTCTCGATATGCGTAAGAGTCTGTGCTGTTTGTAATCCAGAGAACGTAAAACGAGGATAAGAGACATAGCGTAAGAGTCAGAGAAAATAGAAAAAAATGAAATTTACCTATTAATAGGATGCCTATCGAAGATTACGTTGTATCGAAATAAAATAGGTTGGGAAAAAAGATACGGGATAATTAGTGCACACACAGTCTCGTATTTGATAAGATCGTTTCGAACGTTCGAACCGTTGGTACCGGTCGAGTTGAGTTCGCATACATCGTCGCCGTCGGGATGTAGCCGTATTGAGAAATGATCGACCAGAATCGAAACACGCACTCACGCACGCTTCGGATTTTCGTCAAGTCCCCTCACGGAATGACGAGTATAAAAAAGCGCGATGTATGCGTTGATGACGCGTGATACACGCGACTTTTCAGAGACGGACGGCTCGTGTGAAAACGGAAGATGCTGACGAAAAAGCTGCTCCATGCATTAGAGAAACACGAAGCGTTAGAAATCGAACTTAGGAATAATACGTGCGTGGTGCGCGATATCAATCAACTAATAGAATCTGCTACACGGGAATAGGGACGTGCGATTGTTCGCAGGCGTGACGAATAAATCGTGACGATCGCGTCTCGTATCGCCGGGTCGTCGTCGGTTGCCAGTTACCAAAACGGAAAACGGAAAACGGAAAACGGAAAACAGAAAACGGAAAAACGAAACTGATAGAGAGACGCGCCACGAGGAAATGTAAAGATACCATGCATATTGTAATGTGATGTATGATAATAGGACACCATAGCCCCTACCTGAAATGCTTGCGGACAATCGTGGAAGAAGAAGCTGCTGAGCCATTCTCATCGTCTATCGACGACGACTACCCGGAAGGAAAGGGAAAAGGGAAAAGGGAAAAGGGAAAAAGAAGTAAAGTGAGAAATGAGAATGAACCGTACAAACAGAAAAATTAGAGATAGAGAGAGAGAGAGAGAGAAAGAGAAAGAGAAAGAGAAAGAGAGAGAGTGAGAAAGAGAGGAAGAAGGGCTGTAGGGTGGCAGATGGTTTGGATCAAGACATGTATCCTGTATAGCAAGGTAATTGTCGACCAGGCAGAACTTTGTCGACGCTTGGCGTCTCCTGGTAGATCCGGCCAAGCAGATAGACACGCGCAGAGATGTAAAATCACCTCGGTATCAAGGCAAGTCTATCCATACCATTTTCATTCGTGTAAAAAAGCAAATAAAGTGAAATCTTTGCTCGTATTAAAATTCTTCTTTACACTTTTCTCTAGCGATAGAACCTTTTCAAGACCATCTTTTTTTTCTTAGGAGATGCAGCGGTGAAGCGCGCATGCACGCGCACCCGAACCTACGCGTACTGAAATCAGCTTTACGAAGATACGTATGCAAATACAGTAATACAAATCCAGACAATGGTGATGCTGCGGCATACCTACGCCTCAGCGCTTCTTTCTCCTACCTAATGAACGGGGTTTGTTATATTTTTCTCTACAGTGTGAAAGCACAAAGGTAACCGTAACCGTAAACGCAAACGCAAAGTCCCAGTCCTTTTCTTTCTTTTTCCTCTTATACGGTAAATCGATTCTCGCTAGACAATTTCGTTCTCATATATATATTTTTTTTTTTTTTTTTTTTTTTTTATATATACCAATCATTTCACCACCGTACAAATTTTTATTCCTTTACTTTTTTCATTTGATCTTTTTCCTTTTCACGTTACAAAAACGTGTACAAAGGATGTGTCACGCGTATTGCACGCCGTCAAAGTGTCGTTAATTGTACAAATTTTAGAACGGTAAGTAGAGTAGTGCTCTTAATCCTGGTGAGGTATGCATACACGGTATCAGGAGTTGATAAATATTTCGCAAAAAAAAAAAAAAAATAAAAAATAAAAAATAAGAAAAGGAAAAGAAAAATTGTTACGTCTTTTTATGCGATAGTGTTTTTGCACTTATTTCAACACTATTAAACGATAAGAGTTCTTTGCCGCATGTGATTCGTAACGTACATACATATGTAGAATAGTATGTTAAGATCATCCATGACACACATCCCCATCATTTATCGCGTAGTAAAGTTTCGTTAAATATCAAAGTGGAAAAAGATCAGTTAACAAAGTATTGGTTGTATCGTTGTTTCTTGGATGAAATAGGATAAATTAAATTAAATTAAATTAAATTAAATTGTTCTGCCTAAAATTATTCATTTCTTTTTAGTCCAATTGAACAAAGCGAACAACGATTATGTATTATCGCGTATTTACATTAACAAGAAAGCGAATCGTTTTATTTGTCAAGTATACGGTGTTGAAATCGAATTCGATGCAGGTACGATGACATTCGAAGAAATGACGCGTTAAAAGGTATTTTTATTTTTAGTTTATGCTCAATGTTAATTTAACAGCCCGTCCATATGTAATAAGCAGTGTTTTTACAAACGTCTTGCGTCTATGTAATCTTTTAAAGCAGGTATGCAGAAAAACGCGATCTTTCATGCTTTGTTTGCTTTTCAACGCAAGTTTTTATAGTTTGTCGGTGATCGCGCGGTAACAGATCGACGTAAAGAGTACGAAGCGATAACATTGATGATAGCATAACTATGCAAATATCGCTAAAAATAAACAATATTTCGATGACTAGTATTCGTTGTGAAATACGGAATTGCTTCGTTGCGCGGCTCAGTGGCGCGCCGATATTATTCGCGAACGTTACGTTTGAAATCGTTCTTCTCGGTTAGCTGAAGTTGTAACAAATGGCTGTGGATTTACGGTATGATCGATTCGTCTTACAAGCGATTTTTCTTCAATTGTTTCTTTTTTATTTTTATCTCTCTTTCTATTTTCGTCGGTAATTTCAGTAATGTCGGTGATCTTTCTTTAAGAAATTCAATTTTAAGGTTAGGTTAGGTTGAAATGCTGACGAAGGCATGCACGTTCCGTGCACGCGGTTGATCATGTGCTCGCATGCTTGAATGTTACACCCGGTTATATCGGTTCTTACATAATTCAATTACGAATTTTTTTATTATTCCTTCTAACTTGTCAATTTTTTCCTTGGTATAATTTCTATTAGACTTCCTAATTATGTAGACACACATACGTGTACATAATTTACATTTTTTCGATAATCTTCTATATATCTATATACATATGTATGTACGTAGATACATACGGTGATGTAAGAAAAGATATAGGTTAAGGTTGAACCACGAGCATAGGGAACCGGTGTAAATATGTACGGAGTAGGCATTGTTGAAAAATTCATTTTCATAACTGTTCGAAATAACATTTTATTTTCAACTTTCGAAATTTCATTAATATAAAAAAAACGATAAAACGTTTCAGAGAAGGTCTACTGCTAGGCATGGGTAATCCCCTTCTTGATATTTCAGCAACTGTAGATGACGATTTTTTGAAAAAGTACCAGTTAAATTCTAACGATGCTATTCTTGCTCAAGAGAAACACAAACCCATGTACGATGAATTAATCGAACAATACAAGGCAGACTTTATCGCCGGAGGTTCTGTGCAAAATACTATGAGAGTAGCACAAGTAAATTCTTTATAACATATTAGTATATTACATATTAAGTTGCGTTCTATGTACAAATCTGGATTAAATCTGGTTTTAGTGGTTTCTGGAAAAACCAAGAGTTGCCACTTACATGGGGTGCGTCGGAGTAGATAAATATTCAAAAATTTTAGAGGAGAAAGCAAGAGCGGATGGCTTGAACGTTCGCTATCAATATACGAATAAAGAATCTACTGGTACCTGTGCAGTTCTTATTACTGGAAGCGAACGATCTTTGTGCGCCAATTTGGCTGCTGCCAATTGCTTTTCGCTTTCGCACATAGAAGAACCTGAAAATAAAAAGTTTGTAGAAGCGGCCGAGTATATTTATGTTTCAGTATGTACAATCCAGATACAATCCGCCCTTGTTTTAACGCAGCCGAGCAGTTTTAACGCAGCTTTAATTTTTCTCATTCTAGGGCTTCTTCTTAACCGTAAGTCCAGAAACGATCCAAGCAGTTGCTCAACATGCTTACGAAAGAAATAAAATGTTTATGATGAATCTTAGCGCACCTTTTTTGTGTGAATTTTATAAGGAGCCAATGCTAGCGGCTCTTCCTTACGTCGATATTTTATTTGGTAACGAGATAGAAGCGGACACGTTTGCAAAAGTAAACGATTTTCAAACAACGGATAGAAAAGAAATTGCATTGAAACTGTCGGAAATGAGAAAAATGAACGAGAAGAGGAAAAGAATTGTAGTGATAACGCAAGGTGCCGACAATATATTAGTAGCCAAAGATAACAAACTACTGGAATTTCCTGCTATTAAACTACCAAAAGAGAAAGTTGTAGACACAAATGGAGCAGGGGATGCTTTTGTTGGAGGTTCAGTTTCTTTCTTGTCAAGTTTTTGCCCCCCTTTAACATTTTTAACATTTTTAACATTTTTAACATTGTTAACATTGCAGGTTTCTTGGCTCAACTTATACAAGGGAAAGACATTGAAGTTTGCGTTAAATGTGGTATTTGGGCTGCAACGCAAATTGTACAAAGATCTGGATGTACTTACGAAGGAAAACCTACCTTTGCTCTTTGATGCCTCTTAATCAGTTAGTAACTGTGAATTTTGTACTTAATAAACACACTTTAGCGTTTTTCACTTTGTTTCCTTTGATTAGGGTATACTGTTTATACATTGAGAACGTTACTTTTCCCATTTATACGTGTATAGAGACGCTTTGATTGGAAAAACGTAAGAGGTAGCTATTCATTATTTTGACGCTATGTTTAGTAATGAAAGTTGAATTTGATAAGAATGCTAATTAAGATTGACAAGAAGGATACGCAAGACAAGAGTAAGTTGAATAAGATGCTCCTTTTCTTTTATTCTTTTTCCCACGATTCCCGTAATCCTTCGTTGCGTGGTTATACTTGGTCGATTTACGTTAGGCACTCTCAATCTGGCACGTAGTTGGTGTTTTCTAATGGATACCAATTCATCGCGTGGATGTTTCATTTACGTAAAAGTTGGAAAAAAGAATCAATAAAATCACCTGTATTCTTGTCGTTTCATCAAGAATGCTCGCGTATTACGTGAAATATAAAGGCACACAAGTTGAAACAGCCAAAAGAGGAAAGAAAAACAATTACCAGGAATGTGTAACACGCCTGCGCCGCGCCGTTTGACATACGTATATGTATACATGTCTTATATTCTGCAATACGTAGAGTAGAATAAAGATGAAACGACAACGATAAAGATGTATGCATGTAGCTGGACGGGATACTACGGGATACTACGGGATACTACGGGATACTAAAGGGCAGTGAAAAAAAAAGGAGAATCAATAATGTTGTTGGAAAATGATTGCATACGATACAGATGTTTTACGCGGTAAGAACGCCGATGGTGAAAAGTTTTACATTTTACGTTTTGTGTAGCCACAAGGTCGCTATTTCTGAAATGAAATCATTTTTTATACGTTTTATAAAAGCGATAAAGATTGAAGAAAACGGTAAAAAGCAAAAACGTTTGAACGGTAAAGTATATAACGCTATCCTGACAATTATTTATTTGTACAGTGGTAGGCAGGTGGTTCGAAGGAACAAGATTACAGCCCTGAAAACTGTCTGACGGAAGCTTGTGGCAGTGTCGCGGGCGTAGCAGTCTTGTTCACTAGCGTGTCTAGAAGGTAATTGGAAATGGTCAAATGGAGCAGAAAGTGGGGGATGAGCATACCAAAGGTACTTGGAAGTATACTTGGTACGGTGGAAAGAATAGAGAAAAGCTGTTTGCATGTTATATGTTTATATTTGATTTGATTTGATTTGATTTGATTTGATTTGATTCAATTTAATATAGATACCGTGTACGTAACAATGTTTCGCACAATGTTGGAACGGTTTTGGTATTCGACTTGGTTACGGCTTATATTCCCGCGTTCGAAAGGTTTTTCCTAGGTGTCCCAGTCCCACAGGCCATCGTATGACGTAGAGATAATTCGTGTAGAAACAGTAGGCGCGTTTGTGTGCCGGGCAAAAAGAAGGAGACGCGATGCACGTGTGACCGGTAACGAGAATGTGCGAGTTAAAGCGAACAGTTTGATTGGTCGAGGAAAACGCGTGCCGCTACGACTGTTTCATCATTCCGCCGTAGCTAGGAGCGCGGTGTGCGCAGTGCGCTCCCCACCGCGTGCGCACAATATGTAACCCCCGCGACCGCCATCTTTGTCAAGTGGGTAACCTTTGTTGATTTGTGTGAAATGTGACGCCGTTGTTGCAAGATAATTGGTGATCGTGATTACGCATCCCACGTTTCGGTATAACTAGTGATTCGTGTGTTTGTTCGATCGCGAACCTATGCATCGGATTACCGTGATCAGGTAAAAATAATTTGGTTGTCTTTAAATGTCGCAAGAGAACCACGCGAATCATCGCTCGACGCATACGGGCCAGCGGGTCTGGTCGCCAGCTCAAGCCACGAGAGGGAGTGAGAGAAAGAAAAGAGATAGATAGGTAAAGAGAGAGAGAGAGAGAGAGAGAGAGAGGGAGAGAGAGCGAGAATATGTGAGTGATTGTACACGAGAGGGACGGGGGAAGAAAGAGAGAGAGAGAGAGAGTAAGCTATTGGAGCGCGAAAGAGAGAGAGAGACTATGTTCCGTACGCAAGTGTTGTTTCTCCTTGTACTTTCTTGACATTTTTCATTGATTACGCGGAAATATACAAAGTTTGTAATACTATGGAATAGTTGCAGATCTCTCGGTGAATCGAAGCGGTGCGATATTATAACGGAAGTGTGGTTATTGCGCGCGAAAAATTGTGCGAAACGTTGGAGAGTTGGCCGTGCCTACCCAAGATGGCTGCCCGTCGGGCTTCGAGAAACTTGTGTTCTCATGGTGTAGTTTAACGCGATTGCAGAGTGTCGAGTTTGTGTGGATCGTTGCGAGGTGCGTCAAGTCTCGAAATAAACGAAAGAGGAAAAAAGTGCGTGCGGGTATCGTTAGGTTCGAAAAAGAAGCGATAGGAAATAGCGTCGGGAGAACGGACGGGTTCGTGGGCGACGGCCGTCGCTATTACGTTTATCGTCCGGTCCGTAAGGAATCGCACAAGAGTTATCGGTGGTCGTGGTCGAGTAACGCGAATCATGTTAAAAGTATGTGTTTCAAAGTTGATTATGTAAAATGGCTACCAACGGCAAAGAGTTTGTGGTTACTGGAAAACGTATCAGGCGTACGATCGTTCGACAATTATTGGCCAGTTGTAACGCAGAATGTCTGGATCGGTGCATGGTTATCGTTTTGGCGTGGTCGAAGGTGGATCATCGAGCGGAGTAGCATCGATTTCGATAATATTAATAGGCAGATTTTGTCGGAAGAGAATTTCAGAAGCGAGGCGTAACGACGAAAGAGAAACGAGAAGCGACGGGCGGCGGTGGTTAGAGCCGTTCGGTAACCGTCCGTTTTCTCAGTGGCAGCTGCTCTCTCTCCGCTGGCCTGTTCTCTCTTCTACTCTCCGTCGGGTGAGAGGGGCCCCGGCAAATACACTCAGCCGGCCTGACTGGCCTCTCTTCGCCCTCGTCCCCGTGATCGTCTTAACCGGAGGAACGACGCGACGCGACGGACAAATAGACGGACGTGGTGTCGGTTCGTTCGTTCGTTCGTTCGTACGTTCGTTCGTACGTTCGTTCGTTCATTCATTCATTCGTTCGACCGATACATGATTTTCTTCGATACGATAATGAATTGACGAAATTGAAACAGAAGGCACACTCGTGTGAGCGATCGAGAGAAGAAATTGATAAATTTAGGTAAATCAATCAAAGTCGTTTTGCGTTTACTTGCGCCGTAAAATCGTTGGAAGCGTGCCGATGATTGGCCGATTAACGAATTCGAGCCAAGGCTGACGTTTAAAATCCAAGTTTTAAGCGGAAACATAATCGTGTTGAAAATACATGTATTCTGACATACGGTTTATCATTGTATCATTGTATTTATCGGTGCAACTTATTGTAGCTAGAACGATTGCGTATACATATGTAGATGTTTTAGACCACGTGTTGAACAGCGCGGCGCGGCGCGGCATGGCGCGGCATGGCGCGGCACGGCGAATCGTATTCTTCGAGTCAATCAAAGCCGTACTTATGTCACGTTTGAAAATTTCGTGGATCATACGTAACGATGGATTTCTCAAAACCAAGTATCGACTCAATTTGAAGATGTTTCATTGAAAATAGTCATGCTTTTGAGTAAAGGTTTAGTCCGTATCGCATCGTTAAGAATATCGAGTTTTTTTGTGAAGGGCAGATATTACGCGGGAACACCAATAAGATCGTTTCTACGATGGTTGGACCATACCATTTCTATTCGGGTTCTATGCACATATTGACAGCGTATCCATACGTTCGTGTACATATTCTAAAGGATAATTATAAAGTTGGAAAAACGCGTTTAAACGTTGTAACGGGTTGAGAGATTTTGGCGGGAACGAGCGTATTTGAGAGGGAACGGATCGCGATCAGATTGAAGTATTCAAAAGTGGTATCTTTCAGCTTTTCATTTTATTTGGTTTATTTGTGCATGAACGCGTATAGCTAGATTTCAATCTATTACTATCACGGTATGGTATAATTGGTGTTTGGTACAACAGTGATCGGTTGAAAAACTGAAGGGTGATTCGTTTTCGTTGAATCATCACTGATGGAAAATGAGTAAAAGTATTAGTAAATGATTTACCGATGACTAGAATAGTTTCGACGGGTTGAGGTTCGGAGAAGGTATATTTTAGCAGAGTTTGTGCATTTGCAGGTTTACGCGATCGATTTAATTTAAGCCGCGTGTCTGTAGGTCGTTTGATGTTGCGCAATGGAAGCGCGCGAAGCCGAAGCGATTTGAAATATTTCTCTCCGTTCCAGGTGTAGGGATACTACGTTCTCGAGATGGCTCGCGTCGAGGAGAAAGTTTGCCACTTAACGAATTGAACGAAATTGAACGAAATTGAACGAAATTGAACGGTTTTAAATGCCGGATAATTGGCGGGGATAACATAAGGTGGAATGGGATGGAATAGGGTAGGAGGGAGAGTTAGCCATCTCGAATTAGCGCGTGATTGAAAGTAAAGGATCGTTTGATTTATTTGGTCTCGGGGCTGAAAGAGGAAGTTGTACAAGTGACAGCAGTATGGTATGCTCGAAGAATGTTCGCAAGGTGTCGAAACGCGATTTGTTCGAAGCAGGAAGTCGATCGATAAAGGTCACGCGTTCGTACGCGTATTACGAAGAGAAAATAAATAAAAAAGAATGGTGGTGGTGGTGGTGGTGGTGGTGGTGGTGGAATGTACTTGGAGAGAAGAAGGGTATTATTCTAATTGATGGGTACTTGTGTTTTGATTTTAGGGTGGGCTAAAGAAGAGTACGGCGATCGTAGGCGAAAGAGGTGAAGGAACCTCTGATAAAAATCAAGGTACAAGTGGCGCAGGATGTGAGTATCGCAGCGACGCAAAGAGGAACGATCCGGAGACGGTCGAGCGTTGTCGTCGATCGAGTGCGCGTACTCTGGAGAGATACGTGATCATCGTCGCCGGCGGCGTCATCCCCGTCGGCGGACGGCCGACGAAATCGAAGAGGAAGCAATGGACGAACCCGAGTCTGCTGAGACCTGGTCGGCCTGGTTTCTCGACGCGATCCGCAAGATCCGCAGTCAAAAGCAGAGGCCGAGCGTGGAACGGATATGCCACGCGATCCGTCAGCACCACAATTACCACGAGGAGGAGATTGCCGAGCACCTGGAGGTGGCCGTGAAACGCGGCGATGTGCTAAAGATCTTCAACAAGGGCCAGTCCTCGTACAAAGACCCTGGTGGTTTGCAGTCGAAACCGCTCAAGGTCGGCAAGGCGTCCGATCTTAGCAAAGTGCTGGGCAAGGCCGTCAGAGAGCTCGGCGAGAGGGAAGGTTCGAGCCTGAAGAACATCGAAAAGTATATTAGACAGAGTCACACGGTCGAAGAAGAAGCCGAGGGTGATTTGAGGACGGCGCTCAGGATATCGGCGAAAAGAGCCGTCGATCGAGGACTGGTGATCCAGGACGGTAGACTTTTCCGCCAACCGGACAGACCGCCTTGTATCAAGAAGCACGGTGAAAACGTTCAGCTCACCCTACCGGAACACCCTGTGCCCAAGGTCAGTAGTCTCTTATACCTCTTTTACGATATTTACTTTCATCGTTTCATCGTTTCATCGTTTCATCTTGGCTACTTGAACGATCGTTGACGTACCTCGAAGCATGTGTGTCAAATATTCCATAGAGGAGAGTAGAACGTTTCGAAATCACCTGTGATCGAGGAAATGTAGAGAAGGAGAGAGCAAGAGAGTAGGAGGTAGTATCGCTAGAATTTCCACCCGACCTTGAACTCGAGAGAGCACGAGACGGGGCAGAGTTGTTTGCCGCGTTATTCCATCAGTATGCTCGGTTAAGCATACGGTTTTATATTCTCATTAGTCTTCGTATCGTACGGTTTTCGTATTTCAGTACATCATCGATTAAACTTAAGCTTATGTAGCTTTCGGAGCGTGAGTCTGAAATTGGTAACGGAGTGCGACCAGGGGCGATGGAATTGTGAGTAAGATCGATGCAAGTATACCTCGTGTCTTGATGCGTTGAAGAACTGAATAAGGAAGGATGGAAGGGGATTGTGGGTGTTGGGATATTCGATGAGATGAAAGCTAAGAAAAATATCGTGAATTTGCAATGTTCGCCAAGTTCGTCAAGTTCGTGACTCGCATGTATCAACAAGGAAAATACATATTACGCACTCGTTACGATCCCCTGTTTGCGACTGGGGAGTCACGCCGTATATCCACGCCTCAAGATGGTTAGATGCGGTCAAGAGAGTAGCGGCGACGATGGTATTGCATGTGCATGCGCGCCCGTGTGCGCGCGTGTGTGAGGATTGGAAGGAGGGATTGGGAGAGAAGGACACGCGTCCGAGAAAGAGGAGATACAGAGGCAAAGCGGCTCGAAATGATGCGCTATCCTTTGGCGACTCGACTTCCGGCGACTCGTTTGTACATTACTTCTTTTATTGATCTTTCACGCACATGGAATCTCTCTTGCTCTCTCTCGTGCTTTTTTCGCCTAATTCTCTTAACCCGTTCTCCGCATTTTATACGTGTCAACCCGCAAAGAGTACGGAAAGTTAGTTAGAGAAGGATCGATGTCATGCGACGTAATGCGACGTAATGCGACGTAATGCGACGTAATGCGATGCATTGCTCCCCATTCGTCAGGATCACTCGTCAACCACGTTCTTCCCGTTCGATTTATTCACGACTCATAGTATTGTAAATTTGTATCTGCAACTGATTCGTGGTAGTTGGCAATTACCACTGCTGAAGTTCAACTGAGCAACGAGTCTAGCAACAGCAGTTCGTTGTTGTGCAACAAGTTGTTCATTCGGGGTGCGGATCCTGTTTGCGTCTTTCGTCTCGTTTGGGGAAAGATTGTTTATTACAACGCGGAAAAGCAAAAGCAGAGAAACAGAAGCAGCAGCGTCTTTAACTCTTTCGATAAGTTCATGTTTTTCTTCAACGCGACGTGGTACGATCGCTATGTCATCGTACCGATCATGGCTCGATTGCAAATTGCAACGTTTATAAAAATGGAATAATTAAATTTACGCGGTATATTATAATAGTTTTGTAGATTGCGTTCGACCATTTGTTCAACGACTTTACAGATTCGCTGAATTTCTTGTCAACGTAGAAAACTTGATATCTAACGGTAAAAATTTGCTCATAAACCGTTCGTTTTCACGTTGAAAAATCCCTTTGATAATTGTTCCTGCGACTGTTGCTGTTGGGAGTGGTAGTGGTGGTCCCTTAATAAGATGCACCCTTGCTGATGCATAGATATACTAGAACTGGCTTGCATATTACCGGAAGAAATTAATTACGTTCATACGATGTATACCTAGGGAAAAACCGGCAGATTGCTTTGGTAAAATACGTAAGAATGGGAATCGCGTCAGTTGTTCACTTTTCGCGTGGAAAGAAATGTTTGTACGTTGGTTGATTTGATTTGTCGCAGCTACCAGCTCCGCTACCGATATGCAAAGAGTGTCTCGGTGCGACGATAGCGGGCAACAACAATACGAAACGAAACGCCACGGAAAAATTGAGCCGATGTAGCGCGTGCGGTGCAGCCCTGCACAACTCTTGCGCACCTCCGGAACTCTCGATCCTGGTCGATAGAGGTGTAACGTGGTGTTGCGACGATTGCTCGCCAATCTGCGCCGGCTGCCAGCTGGAACGAGAGTCGCAGAATTATCTGGTCAGATGCGCCGGCTGCGTAAAGTGTTACCATCCCACCTGCCTGGACCCCGCGCTCGACAAAAAGAACAAAGCACCCTGGAGGTGTCGACACTGTCAGACAGCGCATACACCGATCGGCAAGGATGACGGGAAAAGAGGCAAAACACAGGACGTTAGTTGCCTCGACGACACGCCGACTAGCGCAAGGAAGAGACTCAGCAAATTACGCGAGAGTAGAAAGTAAGCAAACGTTATCTTAATTTTTCAAAGGCAATTTTCCAAGATATTTCGTGGAAGAAAAATTAAAAGCTTTTTTCATATTTCGATCTGTGTGTAATTGGTTCGCGATACGCGATACGCGATACGCGATACGCGATACGCGAAATAACATACGCGTCTAGATTAACGAGATCGGAAAGGGTGATAAGCGATAAGCTAAGAACTAGAATTATGCTTATTCCAGATCGGCGATATCCAGAAAGAGCTTGACGAGTACGAGTCCCGGCAAGAAAGGCAGTGCAGGAGTGGCACAGGTGGACAGCAACTCGGACGGTAATGCGGGTGTTGTCTCCCCTCGTCAACCACCTTTGATTTCCTCTCCTTTACCACAACCCCCCACCCCACTCGCAGGCCAGGGTAGGCTACTCGAAGAAAAAAATGATCGGATCTCCAAAGAGAAGCAAAAGTTTTTTAGACTGAGCGCATTTAACGCGGACCACAATAAATTGAAGCGGGTGGGGGGCGGTGAGAAATTTAAATCTTCGCAAAACGTTAGTCCTAGGTTGACTCGAGGTAATGCTGCTGCCGCCGTAGCCGCAGCCGCCGCCGCAGCCGCAGCCGCCGCCGCCGCTGCAGCCGCAGTCACAGCCACAATTGCAACCACAACCATAACTGCAACCGCAGTTGCAGCCAGTGTCGCGAATAAGAACGAAAAACAACAAACGGTAGTGGGTAAAAGGTTGCCGCTAATGTCCAGCAGCAGCAGCAGCAGCAGCAGCACCACCACCAATAGTAACAGTAACAGTAACAGCAACAGCAATAGCAATAGCAACAGTAGTAGCAGCAGCAGCAGCAGCGGCGGCAGCAGTAGCGAGGCGAGTGACAGCGATTCCTCCGACGCAAGTGACGATACCACCGACAACGAGGACGAAGATGACGAAGAGGTTAACAGTTCAAGCGAATCTAGCGATTCATCGTCCGCAGACGACGGCCAGCAAGAACGACTGCCAGTTGTTGAGTCTCCGAAACCGAGGGGTCCGTTCTCTTGCGACTTCAACGAGGACAAACCTTGGGGTTTCGCCGCGGCCGCTGCTGCTGCTAAACTGAATATGGAATCACCGTTTTTTAGCAATATCACCAACACGTTCGGTGCCCCGTTACCCAAGCTCGACGTCAGTAGTACGCCGACGTTTGGTTTACACATACAACAACCCGCTACTGCCGCCAATTCGCCGTTGCTCGACTGCGAGAAAAAGAAAGAGAAAAACGATCGCGGCTTTGCAGCCGATTTCACCACAGCGGACGGCAAAGTAAAACCTGGTGCCGGTCAATTGAAAGGTCTGTTTGACGGTTTGAGTCACTTTTTTTCAGTACCTAGTAACGGTAGAGCGAGGTCTAGCGCGCCAACGCCTAATTACGCTCCCGATAGAAGAAAACGGCCTAACACGGACGAAGCGAGTAACACGAGCAGCACGAGCAAATCGGCTAAATTATCCAAAGGGATACAGAGCAACAAAAGGCTGCTCAGTTTACCCGATACCCCGAAATCGAGAGAGAAGAGGAAAATACAAGAGGGGTCGAGCGATGAACCGAAACTACCACGGCCTGGAATCTTCTTGCCTTCCGACGAGGCATTCTTCTCCGCTCCCCTTGACGAAAAATTAACAAAAATGACACCGTCGAATTTGGTGAAAACAGCGGTGAATAGCAAAAGGCACGAACACGAGAGGAGAAAGCTGATGAAAGACGACGCGTCGTCGCTGATCAAATGCGCTGTGATGGATTTATCGTCACCGGCATCAGCGTCCACGTCCACGTCGGCGCTGGCGCCGGCGTCGTTACGCTCGCCCTCCTCCTCTTCGGCGTCGACCTCGATCTTGAGGCACGATCAACAAGATCAGCACGATCAATATTCGCGAAAGAAAAGCCCGCTCGTCGACGCGTCGAATCAGTCACGCCACCCTGTGCCCGCCGTTTTTAAATCTGGCCTGTGTTCCGATTCCGTCAAATCAAATCCCAACCCAAAGTCCATTCCACGAGCCTGTACTAGCGCCACCACCACCAACACCACCACGACACCCCGCGCGACACCCTGCTCCACCAGGAAGGGTAAGAGTCTACCCCACCCGTTCACGAGTCCTAACCTTGACGATGCACCCGATTCGCAAACAACAGTTCCCTCTAATCTAATCCTCGCTCACCACCACGTGGATGTGTTGGCGGTGTGGTGTGCTATGATATGTATGCGTGCGTGTGTGTGTGCCTGAACGTATGGGTCTTCTATTATTCTACTCTTCTAGTCTTCTAGTCTTCTCGTCTCTCTCCCTCTAACTCTCTCTTTCTCACTATCTTTTTTTTCTTTCTTTGTGTGCCTGTGCGCGTGTTTGGGCGTCTGTACATGTACGTCCGACGTAACTTCCTCCAAGATAACATGATTGTTCCACTAACGGTTAAATGGTTGTTCAATTTAAATATGACGAATGTTATAACACTTTTTTTACATTCTCTATGTTATTACATATCTATAATTAAAGTATGCCTTTTCGAACGAGAACAATCATGTTCCCCCGTAGGATGATGTTTGTCGTCGTTTGTGTAGCGTAAAACTCCTGATGGAAATGTTTATGCAGAGTTGGGTATTAAACAGTACTTGTCGCACTTGTCGCGAAGGGCTCGTATGTTCCTGTACTTTTCGATTCATGCTCGATCTCTGTTAAAAGCATGGCTGAACTTTCCATACGTTTTACACTGCAGAAACTTTACCCGGTTATTGCATGCTTATTACTAATATTGTTGTTGCTATTATGATTAATATTACTATTGTTGTCGTCGACGTCGTCGTCGTCGTCGTCGTCGTCGTCGTCGTCGTCAACATTATTACCATGATTATTATTCTTACCATCATCATCATCATCATCATCCTTCTCGTTACTATTACTATTAATATCTTTATTATTTCTTGGCTCTGGCATACTTACTCTTCTGTTTCTATTTTATTTTTTTCTTGCCGAAGGTACGTAATTAATACACGTTCAAGAAAACGTAAGCAAACAATTATTTACGAGCAGTATGCATCCTTGTTTAATTGTTCGCTTTACGCTCAGAAAACTATCTTTACAAAAATCTTTGTTTACTAGAATCGGCTGGTAAAGTTTATCACCGTTACGATCGGTTTCGGCATACCAAACATCCTGTACAGCTCGAGCTATTATAATTCCACCTAAGAAATGAATAGTAATCTGTGTTGTTCCGTTTCCAGGATCGAAGAAATACGTCACTGATATTATCCGATAATGCAAAGTAAACCTGCTGCTGGTGCTGCTGACATTTAGCAGGCACGCAATTTTCCTAATACTTTCTCACCGCCCCTCTCCTTCGTTCGAAAGAAACGAACTAAAAGACTGGAAAGAAAGTTGCCTTTACCATCGAGCAGCCAGTTTCTTATATTCTGCCAACACATCCCATTAAACCTATCCCATAGCGTTGCTTTGGATATTAGTCACGATATTAACATGACTTACTAATTATTATCATCGTACTCGATGCTACTTAACCGAGGGTTATTGGTACACAACTTGATATTTACGCTTTGCTATTATAGTATTTTTGCTTCTTTACCTTAAGAGGGTATCAATCATTCTAAAAAGTGGACATTGTTGTGTGTCGTGTGAAATCTTGACGGTACCTGTTTTTTTCCTTTTTTTTTCTTCTACTTTAATTTACTTTACTTTGCTTAACTTTTACTTTACTTTACTTTACTTTACTTTACTTTATTTCACTTTGTTTTACTTTACTTTCATCACTACTTTTTATTCGATATTGTGTAGGTTTAATTGTTGGGTAATGTAAGCATATCGCGTGTCCTTTTTTTGACACAAGAGTCGATCGATCGATCGATCGATCGACAGTAGTGTTGAAAGTCACGCGTAAATTATATTAACAAGTGGATATCGATCAAGTTTGATTTCCTTCCTTCGATCGATAGCGCGGGGAAGTAATCGGTAAAAAGCAGTGCGTCGATTCTGTTTACAGAGGAACCGATTCTACCGCAGAGCCTGCCACCGGGTGTCACTCAGAAGGACGTGGATCTGTTCAAGGAGGCTCGAGATAGAGCAGCTCGGTTAACTACTGCAAACGGAGAAAGCGAAGAAAGTAGCAGCGTGGTGTCTGTGAGCGCAGGGAGCAGCAGCGGTACAACCGGTGGAAGCCGAAATCCCGCGGCCATAGTTTTCGGTCGATACGAAGTCGAGACTTGGTATTCCAGCCCGTTTCCCCAGGAGTACGCGAGATTGCCGAAACTGTTCTTTTGTGAATTCTGCTTAAAGTACACCAAGAGTCGGGCGGTACTTGACAGGCATATGGACAAGTGCCAGTGGAGGCATCCACCGGCCACCGAGATCTATAGGTGTAACGGGCTATCCGTTTTCGAGGTACGTGTACTTTCGAATTCTTTCGTTCAACCTTTCTCAATGTTTCTCGGTTCATCGTTACATACTGCACCTGATAGCTCTCAACTTCTCTCGACTAACCAGATTACTTGCTTTTCCATTTTTCAGATCGATGGTAACGTGAACAAGATCTATTGCCAAAACTTGTGTCTATTAGCGAAATTGTTCTTAGATCATAAAACTCTGTATTACGACGTGGAGCCGTTTTTGTTTTACGCGGTGACGAAAAATGACAAGTACGGTTGCCATTTGGTTGGCTACTTTAGTAAAGAGAAACATTGTCCGGCGCAGAGGTACAACGTCTCGTGTATCATGACTCTGCCCCAATATCAGAGGCAAGGGTTCGGAAGGTTTCTCATCGAGTTCAGTTACCTTTTGTCCAAGGTCGAAGGGATTCCTGGAACACCGGAAAAGCCACTTTCCGATCTTGGCCGTGTATCGTACCATTCCTTTTGGAAAAGCGTCGTGCTCGAGTATCTTGACGCTCACAGAGATTCGACGGAAATCAAACTGGGAGATATAACGAAAGAAACCGGAGTTTCTGCCCACGATATCGCGACCGCGATGCAATTGTTGGGTTTCGTCAGATCGGTCCATCTACCGGGCGAGGGAAACTCGAAGGTGGCCGTAGTAGTCGATTGGGGCAAAGTGGACGTTCATATGGCCAAGATACGAAAAAGTTCGCGTATCAAGTTGGACCCTGATTGTCTCAGGTGGATACCGTTGCTCACGCAAATTCCAAATCCGTATCAAAGCCCGGAAGAAAGCGGCGACACTAGTTCCGAATCGTCACCGGTCGCGGCCGAACCTAAACACGTAGCAGCCGTTGTCGAGAAAATACAAAAGGTAAAGATCAAGAGAAAACCGAGAGGCAGGAGGTTGGGACAAAGAAGATCGTCCCCCTTGAAACCAAAAGCTCTTCAAAAATCTTCGGTACAAAAGGACACCGGTTTCAAAGAACCAAAGGACTCGAAGGAAACGAGACAAATCAAGGACTCGAAGGAAACGAAAGAGTTTAAAGAGACGACAAAAGAGAGCAAAGAGAATAAAGAGACGAAAGAACCAAAGGAACCGAAAGAATCGAAAACAACGAAAGAAGCAGGAGAGATGGAGAAAGAGCCGCGAAGCACCGCAACCGTTGTCCCGGAAAATGGCAAGATGATGGAGGTTGAAGCGAAGCATGTTACATCGACACCGAGAAATTCTCGAACGATGGCTGCATCGAAAAGTTCGAACAACTCGGTGAACTCGGCTAAGTCGACACCTCTGTCAGCGGTATCGACGACGCCTAGACGAAAGATCAGGGTGCCGAGAACCCCTCTAGTCGAATCGGTAGTGACGCCTTTGCGAAAACGAAAACATTCCGAAAAGACTGAAAGCGAAGATAAAGAGGACAAGTGCGAAGTGAGTTGTAGAAAGAGGACTCGTGAGTCGTTGAGAGAAAAGGAGAAGGAAAAGGAGCGGGAAAGAGAGAAGGAGAAACCGAAGGAAAAAGACAGGGCAAAGGATAAAGATAGGGATAAGGATAAGGATAAGGATAAGGATAAGGATAAGGATAAAGATAAAGATAATTCGACAAAGGAGAAAGACAATAATTTCGTTATGGAAGGAGAAAAGCTGTCCTCTAAAGAGGTGGGGATAGAATCAGTTCCGTTCTCCGGTGTCCAGAAACCGGCTAAAAAGCAGTGCAAAGTAGACGACATCCTGTTGAAGATAACCAGTCGACAAAGCGGGAAATACCTGCAGACGAAACAAGGGAAAGAGAAAAAGCTTTCGGAGCAAAACCAATGTAACGGAGGAAAAGAGGAGGCAAAGGAAATTGTTAAAGGTTCGCCGGTATCGAGACGTGGTAGGGCGAAAGCCGAGAAAGATGCTTTAAAGATGCCACAATTGAAACCGGAAGCAGTTTGTACAGAAGAGAGAGCGGATAGTCCCATTACGGTAGCACCTCCCCCAGCTTTATCCCCTTCGCCAGACTCGGAGAAAACAGATTCACCTGTTACCGACAAACAGCTCTGTGTTTTTGAATCGAATCCTGCTAATCAGCCGGATAACGCGACGGAAACGAATGAGATCGATACCAGCGTGGTTACTGCCGATATCGGTCGAACAAGCAGCGTTGTCGTTCCACCGGAACCGGAGGCGGAGGTAACCTCTGCCAGTCCTGGAGAATACGAGGGTGGTGACGAAGACGAAGGGGAGGAAGAAGTACCTGCGCCGAGACCGAAGTCTGTGACACAGTGTTCAAGCGTAACTGGCGGAAATATTGATTCGAACGAACAAACCGCCGCAGAGATAATGACGGAAGATAATCGAGTCGATGAACGGAAAGAAGTAGAGAAATACTTCCTGCAGAATGTGGAATCGGAATCGCAATCGCAATCGCAATCGCAATCGCAGATTGCCAACGATCGGAACGAACAAGTTGCGAAAGAATGTGATAAAGATTCAGAGACTGAAAAAGCAATTTGTAGTCCGGAAACGCTGAAATTGGTACCTGATGTTCCTTCGCCTAAACGCGAGGAAAACGAAAAATTAAAAGTTATTGCTCAGGATAAGGATGAGGATAGTTGTAAGGATGAGGCGGTTTCCGATAGGTTAGCTTTAAAAGATTCGAGGGAAGATTTCACACGAACGAAAGTGGAAACTTGTCCGACTGCTCCTACGGAAAAGAAAGAATCGATCGTTGCTTTGAACGTTGCGTCGCCTGAAACGGAGTCCCTCACTCCACAAGAGAAGGTTCTTTCCGTCGTGGAGCAGCAACAACAACAACAGCAGCAGC